CCAGGCAGCAGATAAGCAGGGAAAGACCTTGTGTCAGATGATTATTTGAATGCACCAGTCCACAAGGAGCTTTCAAAACCCAGCTATCCTTACCCTGCTTTTTGCCCGTAAGATGGCCCTGCAGCTCCAGCTTGCTGTCACCCTGTCCCCGGGTACAACTCGCCATAGGGCCCTGTCGGGCAGCCTTCCCTCAGACGGAGCAGTCTGTCACCTATCTGAGCATGAGTATGCCGTGTCTCAGAGTCAAGAGACCCTTGAAATCTTATCAAATGGTGGCCATAGCGTGACGTTTCTGGGCCTGTGGTGGGGGAGGGGGCCGCCGAGGCGTGGCATGCCGAGGCCCTGGCAGGGAGTGCAGTCACAGCCAGGTGCCAAGGTGAGGAGGTGGCATGTGGCCAGGGAGCAGCAACGGAGAACGGGCCCAAGTGCTGTCATTCCAGGGGCGCCCGGGGGGGCTCAGTCAGTTAAGCATCTGACTCTTGATTTTAGCTCAGGTCATGGTCTCATGGTTCATGAGTTCAAGCCCCGCCTCAGGCTCTGTGCTATCAGCTTGGAATTCTTTCTATCCACCACCACCCCCCAGCTCCTCTCTCTCTCTCAAAAATAAGTGAACAGTCAAAAAGAATAAAAGGCTGTCTTTCCAGGCCTGTCCACTGTGAGCGCACCGTTCTGTCCTGTGTAACACGAGTACCGTGTGGCAAGATGCTCGGGGACTGTCCCCATCTCTCCTTCCTCATACTTCCACCCACACATCCAAGCATCCACGGATGATTGTATCCATCCATTCTTTGCCTCAAAGAATCTACCACAGTTTTGCCAACTGGCGAGGGTGAAAAGCTTTCGGAACACTAAAAATAACCTCAGAGACTTTTGGGCAGGACTTGAAAACTAGAGCTGAAGGGCCAAGTTGAGCCGCTGCCTGCCTTAGTGAGCAAAGGTCTCCGGCACACAACCAGGGCCCCTCGCGCGGGCACTGTCTGCGGCCGACTTCACACCACAGAGGCTCAGCTGAGTGGGTGCGAGAGGCCGTATGTCTCACAGGGGCTAAACTATTATTGGGCCCTTTGGGGAAAACAGTTTGCCAACCCTGTTTTTAGGAAAATAAGGCCTTTGTGAGACAGGTACAGAATGTTTGGCAACTGAAAAAATGAATCTTACAAAAACCTGGCCAGATAATCAAAATAAGAAAGAAGATTCAACAGAAAAATTGAAAAGCAAAACTGAGACAACATTACAGAAGCAGAACACAAGACTAAGAAGATTGGAAAGATGAAAGAATCCGAAAAGGATGATGACTAATAAAAGTTACAGAAAAACAAGACAGAGAAAATACCAAATTGCTTTAAATCTGGAATTGAAGTACAAAAATTCTTAAAATGACCCATAATGAATGAAAAAGATTTATCCAAGGCACATTATCTTGAAACTTTAATTTTTTAACGTTTAATTTATTTCTGAGAGAGACAGCATGAGCAGGGGAGGGTCAGAGAGAGAGGGAGACACAGAATCTGAAGCAGGCTCCAGGCTCTGAGCTGGCTGTCAGCACAGAGCCCGACGTGGGGCTCGAACCGATGAACCATGAGATCATGACCTAAGTTGAAGTTGGATGCTTAACCAACTGAGCCACTCAGGCACCCCTTGACATTTTAAAATGCCAAGAAAGAAAAGTAAATTCTAAAAGCTTCCAGAGCCTAAATGTCCATCCACTGACAAAAGATCAAGAAGATGTGGTTTATATATACAATGGAACACTACTTGGCAATGAGAAAGAATGAAATCTGGCCATTTGCAGCAACATAGATGGAACTGGAGGGTTATTATGCTGAGTGAAGTCAGTCAGGCAGAGAAAGACAGATACCATATGTTTTCACTCATATGTGGATCTTGAGAAACTTAAAAGACCATGAGGGAAGGGAAGGGGGGAAAATGTTACAGAGAGGGAGAGTAGAAAACCATAAGACACTCTCAAATACAGAGAACAAACTGAGGGTTGACTGGGGGGGTGGGGGGGAGAGGGGAAAGTGGGTGATGGGCATTGAGGAGGGCACTTGTTGGGATGAGCACTGGGGGTTGTATGGAAGCCAAATTGACAATAAATTATATTAAAATAAATAAATGCTTCCAAAGAAAGAAGAGAAAGAGAATAGGTCACACACAAAGGAAGGACAATCAAATGGCACCATCTCCATCAATAATGATGTTAAGATAAACACCATGAAAAAAAACGTCTTCACATTCAAGAGAAAATATTTGTCATCCTACCATTTGTATCCCATTCAAGTACCCATCGGACATTTTCAGGAATTCGTGGATTTAAAACGTGTCTCCGATGTCATTTTTCTTAGAAAGCTACAAGAGAATGGATGCCACTGAATAAAGGATAGACATCGAGAAAGAGAAAGACAAGACTCCATAAAACAAGAATCTCACAGGAAGCTTCCCAGGACAAGAGCTGTCTAGCGAGGCTGGAAAGAAGTTTGAAACAAACAGAGGCAGAACTCTGAAAATGAAATAGCCTGGGGGGAAAAATAGACTTCATAGATTATTTGATATGATTGATTTAGAAAAAAGAGGAAACATTGAAAAACTGACCAACATATGGAAGACTGAACAGCACTTTTAAGAAAGTTTTAGGTTCACTAAAACCATGTAAGAAAAATGGAAAGGCAATTATTCATCCAAGAAAAATCAAAAGTTGTAAAAAGAAGTGTATTACTCTATATGACTTTGCAGGGAACAATATTACAGCCATAATGAACAGACCATAACAACTTTTATAAATCTGCTGTATTTGGAATGATGTAAGAGGGGAGGTGACTGGAGTAACAACGCTGTATTTTATCTACCTAAAGCCAACAGGTGTCTATAATGGACAAATCCAGAAACAGCCAGGGAAGAATATTATTTATAAATATGTAGGCAAATCTGAGAAGAAATGGCTTTAAAAAGCTGACCACCACCTCAGACCAATAAGAGGGCAGGTGGGGATGGGGAGGAGCCTTCTAGCATCATTTGAGGACCTGTGGCACGCACGTTGCTCTGATAACAGACACAATCGCCCTGTGAATGCCCCTCCCCTGCCCCGCTTCCCCTTGCCCAGCACTGCCCAAAGTGAACTCAGAGTGAAGGGTGCCCAGGCTCATCCAGTCAGAATTTATCCCAGCCTCCTTCATGCTCCCATAGTGGCTGCTATGCTTCCTGTAACAATTTGTTGATTCAACAAATAGTATCATGAGCCCGGCCTCCTGTTAGGTGCTAGAGGTAAGAGTAGTAAACCTGACAGCACAGTCCAGCTCACGAGACCGGCAGCCTAGCAGGGAGGCAGACGTCACGCACACGTTCAATTCAACATGGACGAGAGTCATAACGAGACACCCCAGCCCGTGAGTGCTGCCATCACAGAGTTCCCGGCTTCCCATCCCATCCAAATACTGCTCCACTCCGGCCAAAGGGAACCGTGCTTTCTCTGGCTCTACCCCGCTTCCTGTATTGCCACGACATCTGCACCCTCCACCATTTAACCCGATGAGTTCAGGGGTCACCACACACTCCTCTGCTCCTTTTCCAGTTCCATCCTGCAGGGGACACGTGACTTCTGCCACCTGCCTCTCGTGATATCAAGCCACTGCCTCTCCCCCACCCAACACTCACCCAGGTGGGGCAGGTGCTCTGCACCCCTCTGGCGGTGTCAGGAAATGACATCGCCCCTTGGTCTCAGCTCTGACACAGGCTTGGGGTTTCTCCCTTCCCAGGGAGAAACAGGCGGTCAGGACGGCAGTGATGGAGTCAGGACAGGAGTCCTTTGTACTGTTGCATTTCTTTGGCCAAAAACCTAGTATCTGTCCTGGATCTTTTATTGCTGGGTTCAGGCGTGCATGCATGAATCCCCCCAGCAGGATTAACACAGCATTTCAAAAATCACAGCTGGGAGGATCTTTAAGTGGGAGATAAAAACATGATCAAAAAAATAATCTATACAATCTTAAACTAATTTAGAGCCAAATCCCCCAAAAAACCACATATGCCTAGATACACATTACCTCTATTTAAAGCCCAAGTACCTGTCAGTTCTCTGACGACATCTCCACGCAGTATGTGCTCATGACTAACCCCTGGACTCCACGAACATTGGGGGTGGGGGGAGGCGGGGGGCATTGTCACTGTGTTTGTATCATACTTTGCTCTTTTAAGCAGCAACAGTTTCTCCGGATGATTTTAGATACGTCTTTCCCTTTGCAGTAGGTATTTTACTTTGTTTCATCAAGTACTAATGTGGCTGCTGAATGCCAGGAATATAGCTCTTTCTAATTTTAATGAAGTCCATATTTATATTCATTTTCTCATTTGGGGTTCTAGCCAATAAGGAAAAAAATCCTATCTACACAACACAAACACCCACACCCAGTGATCACACATGCACACATACACACACAATGATCACACACGCACACACATATGCACAGTGATCACACACACATAGTGATCACACATGTGTACACATACACACGTGCAGGGATCACATACATGCACACAATGATCACACACACACAGTGATCACACACACAATGATCACACATGCACACATCTATGCATAGTGATCACACATGCACAGACTGAGTGATCACACAGCACAAACATACACATGTGCAGTGATCACATACATGCACACACACACAATGATCACACACATATATGCACAGTGATCACATGCACAAAGAGTGATCACACATGCACGTATACACACAGAGTAATCACACATGCACACATACACATGAGCAATGATCTCTCACACACACACATACACACACACACAGTGATTACACGATCACATGCATAAGCAGAATTTCTTGTCTTTTTAATTGTATGCACAGAAGAGACGCAAATATCGCTTTTCTTATTTTATATGAATTTTCATTGGGATGTGTTTTCACGTTTTTAAAATTTAACTTAGTCCTCTAAATATTAGCTTCAAAATGACCCAGGAATCACATTTTCTAATGTGAAATTAAAAGGCATGAAACAGACTACTACTTTATTTCAACTCCCAACAAGAACAAAACTGCTTAGTCCAAAATAAACAAACAGCAACACTGATTTGCCACCTGCTGCCAACACTCAGTGCGCCGTCCCAAACCACTGGTTTATTTTTGCTACCCTCAGGTAGAGGGCCAGGCTGACGATGAAGTACTCTTCCGTCTCCTTGATCCACACCAGCTCCATGTGCACTTTTCCTTCTGTGTCCGCATAGTCAACATAGTAAGTCTGTCCCAAGAAGTTGGGGCCGTCCAAGGGCCCCAAAGGCCTCAAACAAACCGGAGAACTGAAACACCAAAACGGTTTCCCATATTCGTCCAAAAGAGTTATGTCCATTATAGAACAAGTCTACAAAAGAAACACAAACGTTCGTAAGTGTAAGGGTAAGACGGCCCATTAGACCTGCTTTCCAGGTCTGATTACTACGCACGGACGTAAAAACGAAGCCGTGTCGTGCGGGACGGAGTGGGAGGGAAGGCTGGAGACGAGAAAAGAGAACAGAATGACGGGAGGCAGAGCGCACACCAAGAACATGAAGGGCGGGGAGCACATGGGGGGGGCCAGGGGGTGGTGCCAAGAGGGCGGTGGCGGGTCAGCTCCGTCCCTCATCACCTCCACCACACGTGTCCAACGAACGACAGAGCGATACACGGGGGTGGGAGCAGCGAGCGCTCACAGGGTGCTGGGGGTCCTTACGCAGCAGCGAAGAGGGGGCAGTAACCCCGGGAAAGGGGAGACGGACTCGCTGAGCGGAATCTGCCTTCTGGAGGTGAGGGTTGGGGACAGGGAGCGCCAACCTCCCGCTCTCACCCCTGCTGCTGCAGAAGCGCGGGGTCCGGGGAGACGAAACGTGTCTGTCTCAGACATGCCGCGTCTGAAGTGCCACGCGGGGACTGGGGTCAGGGGGAGGTACTGAGCATGATTACTAACGAGCTATCGTTGTAAACGTGTCCTTAACCGTGGTAGTGCATATGCGACACAACTCTCCCATCAGCCGCCATCGAGCAGAGCGCACCCCATGAGGCACACTCAGGCTGCCTGCAGCCGCCCCCACCCTCTGGCTCCGGCCCCTGCTGCGTGCAAAACCGACACTCTGCAGCCATTAACAGCTGGCCCCCCGGCCCCGGGAGCCACCGCATACGCCACGTCTCCGTGGACCTGAGCACCCTCGGTACGTCACTTAAGTGGAATCCTCCGGTGGTGGACCTTTGTGTCTGGCTTACTGCACTTAACACAATGCCTCTAGCTTCCTCCGTGCTACAGCAGGTGCTGGAATTTCCTTCCTTTGAAAGGGGGGACGATACTCCACAGAATGGACACAGCACAGCACAGTTTGTGTTTCCATCCATGTGCTGATGGACACCTGGTTTGGCTTTGCTCTTGTGAATAACACTACTACGAATGTGACCATATAATGTTAGCTCCCCGTGTTCTACTTACCGGACACTAAGCCAAGCAGTTGACATATATTATTTTATTTAGTCCTTAAGAATTGTTTTTCTCAAAAAACTATGAAGTAATAGTAAGGCTAAAATCTTCTAACATTTACCTTTTTAGATATGGGTCATTATTTGCCATGACCTAGGCCCTGTGTTAGTGCTCTATTGGAATTTAAGTGTTTACTCTTAAATATCAGCATAAACCGAACACTGATATCAGTCTAATTACATCACACGGATATTATAGGTATCTACACAGAGAGATACACATAAAGAACTTATAGATGTCAGCGTAAACACTGCTTCCAGAGATCTGTGCACAATAATGTGGCCAGCAGCACTGACCATTTGGACCTCAGTATGATCATGTCAAAGAATCCTAACTGAAAAAATGTTTATCACAGAGAAAGAAACATAAACATCGCAAAAGTTGAAAAAAATGAGACGTTCCAGTTAAGTGGCCGAGGTGACGTGGTTGCCACCTTAGTGAAGGAGGAGCCAGTGCGAGGTGTCCCCAGCCCCCGACGGCGAAGAGAGCGAGCGGAGTGGAGCCGAAAGGCCCTTCCCACGGGAGGTGAGGGCGGCCCTCGGAGGCAGCCTGAGGAGCCAAGACTGGGCCACGCGCGCTCCCGATGCCTTCTGAGCTCCCGGAGCAGCACACAGCAGCTGGCGCGGGCACACCCTCTGCTTCCAGCAGGGCAGGGACCACAGCTCACAGACCGGGGGGAAGGCCACTCCACGCTGCAGCTCGTGGGCTGAGCCCGAGAACCAAAGCCCGAGAACCTGAGAGCAAGGATGTGCCTCTGTCCGTGCTCAGGCGGCCGGAGCCCTTCTGGAATAAGCAGCTACCAGTGTGGCCATTGGATGAAGGGAGCTCTGTCATGTCAGTGTCCGAGCTCCTACACCTGGTCAGGTGGTCACGCGGCCCCAAGCCTTCCTTTCCGCCATCGCCCTTCACCATGCCAACTAACTACTGGTTTCTCAGTTTTGTTACTTAAAATCTCACTAAAATCCAGCAGCACAGAGATGGTGGCTACAACCACGAGTAAGGAGGAGGCCATGGAGGAAAAGGCGACACGCGGGGCTGCCCCAACATTCCGAGGAAGGTGGAGAAGGAAATCAGGGAGCAAGGGGCAAGAGGTACGAGGACCCTGTGACAAGGATGCCACTCGGGAGCCCCACACCCCGCAGCAAACAGCTCACTCTCTGCTTCGGTGCTTTCGGCCCCTCGGCCGCCAGACAGACTTGTGAGCTACGTCCCGAAGGCCTCCCGGTTGTAAGGGCCCAGCCCTGTCCAACTCCCCCACGTCCTATGGACACCTAGCACCCGGGACACCTGGCTCCTGGTGGCACAGAAAACCCGCCAGCAGCCTCGCGGGACACAAGCGGGACGTGGACTGTGAGGCCGTCCGTGAGCCTCCCAGCCCGCCTTTGCGCCCCTCCTGCTGCTGCCTGCCTGGTCGGGCCCCGGGCCACTCCCTGCAGGCCGCTGGTCACACTGGGGAAGTTCAGTTCCAGCTGGACAGACAGCCTCCCCCTCCATCCCAGGAAGCGGCTCCTTCTCCGTTACAGACCACTGCTGCCCTTGGCAGGGGGCAGGGGAGTGGAGGGGGGGTTTAGAGCCTCCCCACACCCTCCTCTACATTCTGCCTGTCTCCTCCGGGGGACTGTGCTTCCAATGACCCTGTCCCAATCTGTCTCCCTCAGCATGAACTTCTAGAACGCACACGCCCGCGCAGGAGGCAGAACCCGCCTTCCCTGCAGGTAAGTCCGTTCTCGCTCCCTGCACCCCCTTTGTCAAGGAGCTCTGCAGAGTCGGAGGCTGAGGCCCGGTATGGGGAGTCAGGCTCTCCCCGGTGCCCGTCCCCCGCAGCCGCCCAGCCACTGCGGCACCCCCAGCACCCCGGCCAAGGCCTCCTGCGGGCGGGGGCACAGCCATCAGCACACACGAGCCTGTGACGCCCCTCAACCACGGTTCTGCCAAACGATCTAGCTTGAGTTACAATGGATGGCGAGTCCATACGGATTAGAAGCGGCAATAAAACATTAGAAACGCCAAGGCGACGGAAGGATAAAGTGAAGGAACAGACAGAAGAAAAGCCGCCGCCGGCCCTTCTGAGAGGCGCTGAGAGAAGGCGGGCGGGGGAGGTTTCACTCCGAACGTCACCGAGTCAGGCTGAAGGCGGAAGCAGGGCCCCCACGCTGGCCGCTCACAGCGGGCCTGAGAGACAGCGCGGCGGCCGGGGACCGGGCCGCGGTCCCGTCGGGCCTCGGGACCGACGTCAGCCACTGCGGGCGACTCTGAACGTGTCTGTGAGCATGACCCGACTTTAATGAAGAAGAAGAGGGGCGCCTGGGTGGCTCCGTCGGCTGAGCGTCCGACTCTTGATTTCAGCCCAGGGCACGATCCCAGGGTTCATGGGATCAAGCCCTGCATCGGGGTGTCAGCCCAGAGCCTGCTTGGGATTCCCTCTCTCCCTCTCTCCGCCCCTCTCCTGCTCCTGCTCGCTCTCTCTCTCTCAAAATAAACAAACATTAAAGAAAGAAATAGTTGGTCAGCTTATAACATGATTTGTTTTAAATTTTTAATGTTGAGTAATCCACCATATAAAATAGTGAGTTGCTGTCGTTAGGCTCCAGGCACTCAAGCTACAGACACGTCTGGGTCAAACGGCCTCCGTGTCAGCCAGCGGCCCCCACACACTGTGCTCCTCTGAGGAAGATTCTCCTGGGAACCACAAACCAGAAGGACCTCAGCGGCCCCATTCGTGACCACACACCACATCGAACAACACAGGGCAACAAGCAGTTCCTCCATCTGTCATCATCATGACCCTGGTTGTTTCTGTCCCGTGTCCAGAATCACTGTCTCGGGTGACACTTTCTCACTGACCTGTGCTCTGGCAGCATGCTGAGTGACGGTGTCAGGAGGCTCCGTCCGGAAGGCTGTTTCTACAATTTCCACAACAAGCAGAGGGTGTGTTTGTTGGTGTTTAATATCTATGCATATGTAAGAAACTTTTTCACGGTTTACCCTTGCCTGTGAGCCGTTTCTCAGTCCTCCAGAGCACTCTCCTAAGTGTGTGTCACAGGTGGTGCACAGTTACGCGGACCGGACACCTGAAGGGAAAGTCCCCATCTGTGCGGCCAACGCGAGGGACGGGACCTCACTCACCGCAACGCCTCTTCCTTAGGGACTCCCAGGATGTCTCAGTCTTAACACCAAACCCCAAATGAGGAATAGCAAAATGCAAGTCGACCGCACCCAGCTGCAGGCCAGAGGGAGAGGCCACAGCCCTGGGCCCCTCTCCACCTTCTCCCAAGGCCCACCGGAGAGCAGGGGCTGCAGGGACACTTGTGCAAGGGGCCTGCAGTCCGTGCCCGACTGCAAGGACCCGGAATCCTGTTTTCAGAACAAGCCAGTTTGCTAGAAACATGCATGCCCGAGTCACGTCGGTCTGGTAACCAAAAGAACTACTGCCTGGAGCTCATTCTGAAGCGACATCTTCAGCATCTGGAAGACCAGCTGTAAAAAACCTGTCCCTGCATTTGTGGCTAGAATGTTCCTTAGGATGGCCGTCCACGTGGGTTAGTGTGCCTACGTGAAGTCCCACTGGACACTGTATGATGATAAGAGCTGGGACGAAGCTTTGTGCCTCTGGATAACTACTACACTTCCCTTCCCCCACACTGAGCTAAAGATGCTCTCATCTGGCTCCAAACACCAGCAAACTGAGCTAAACACAGAACAAACCATATCATTTTTATAATCACATGGACACTGTAAGTCTTTCATATCTATATTCTGCCTTTCTTGGACTTCAAGTTCTACTCTGACTTTAATATTTGATTATAGTACATATTTTTATAAGACTCATCTAAATAAACCCATTAAAAAAAAATCCAGGTCTGTGCTCTAAAAATATGAAACAACACTCTTTTTGTACATCATAAAAACAATCTTTACCAAAGCTTACATAGTTGTTTACAAATAAATAGGATTAATAAAGCAGTTCATTGTATCAAATAGCAAGTGACTCAAGAGATAACACTTACTGATAATTAACTGCTTTTTAATATTTTTTAATGTTTATTTATTTTTGAGAGAGAGAAAAACAGAGACAGAGACAGAATGTGAGTGGGGGAGGGTCAGAGAGAGAGGGAGACACAGAATCTGAAACAGGCTCCAGGCTCTGAGCTGTCAGCAAAGAGTCTGACGCAGGGCTTGAACCCGTAAACTGTGAGATCATGACCTGAGCCAAAGTCAGATGCTTAACTGACGAAGCCACCCAGGCGCCCCTAATAATTAACTGCTTTTAATGCTCAGTGATAATACTGTTCTTGGTCTCAGCCATTATTGGTAATTGTCCTAACTTGTACAGCAGAATAAAGCCATGTTACTGGAGACAGATCCCACCGCTCACCTGGAATATGAAAATCCTATTCATCCCACAAAATAAAGATGGCGAACAATGAGAACCAGGGACGGCTGTGGGCACACGATCACAAAAGAGAACAAAACTAAGTTACACGGGTTCTCACCCTCCTCTGCCACCTCCTCCTCTTTCGTCCGTCCCGACTCCCAACCACTAAATAAACTCTGCTATCCATGTGGCTAACTTCTGATGAGGCATCAATTGGTGTCACTGTTCAAGGAAGGGTATTCACGGAAATATCTTGTAACTTGGTTTACAAGCATTTAAGATGTTGAGTAAATGCTACATGCCTGGTCCAACGAACAGCACCACTAGTTCTCCACAAGACAGACAGAGGGGCTTCAAAGGGGGGGCAGGGGTGCAAGAATGTTGCAAGCTACCTACCACTCTTGCTTCCACGCACTCAACGAAAAACAGAAGGCACTGAACAGGCGCCTACTGAATGCATCAACTGTCAGTGCCTAAGAGAAAGCGCACAGATCTTCAGACATCAGAACAGTCAAACTAGGACTTTAAAAGCAGCATCATAGATATCCAACAGACTTATTTTATTATACAGAAACCAGGTACATGAAGAAAATAAAACAACAAATTACCTTTATACAGCCATTGAAAATATCAGTTCTCCAAGAGAGGCCAACTTTTCCAATAAGAGGTAGGTGTTCTGTGTTATTTTTAAAACTTATAACAACAATCTTCACATATCCATCTTCAACATACCCTGAAAAGATTTAAGAGTTTTATAATTACGATGCGCCCATGCAGGACAAGTCGGGACTCTGCAGGCAGGCTGTCTCATAAAGAAGGCCTCATTGGGCTAAGGACCAGGCTCGGGCATGTGGCCTCAGGCCGGTGGCCCATAGTCTGAAAACTTGATCTCGAGGGTGAGTCGAGGAGACGCCTGGGGTGCACCTGGATGTCCACCTGTCACCGGCAGGGGGCTGCTAAGGAGACAGGGGTCCTTCTGATTTGGTTTTGCCAACAGTACTACGAACAGTAAAGGAGGGCTGTGGAGCTGACAGCGCGGGCCAGAGCAGCCCAGAAAGGACATTGACCATGGGGGAGCCAGGAGGGCAGCGGGCGGGGGGGGGGGGCACAGACAAGACACGGAGCTGAGCCGAGCGCACACAGGCGTCCTGACACACACAACAGCGCAGGGCAGAGGCCTGGCCTCCTCAGACGAGCGAGACGCTAAGAGCAGCCTGGCCGCGGTCAGGGCTCTCCCAGGCCCTCGCTCTCGGACGCTCTCCCACCCTCCCAGGCCCTTGCTCAGGAACCCCCGGCCCACTGGGCATCCGTGACGACGGCTCCGCAGGCTCGTGCATGTCCCCAGAGAAGGACCACTGCACAGAACGACATGATCGTTCCTTCACGGCCTGTAAGCTTTCTTGAGAGACCTGCACGGGGTACAAGGCGGGTCCTGGGGCAGAGAGGAAGAGTGGAGGGGAGCGGCTCTAGGTGGGTTATAGGTGGGTTATCGCAGAGGACAGAAGCACTGCCCCCAGTGCTCTGGACCGCGTTGTCACGTTTGCGTAGCTGGTGGCCCCCTGGGCAACACGGCGATGCACTCTGGGTGACACATACCCTTGGAACAGAGCTCCCCAGCCCTGCAGGAGGGTGTGGGGAGCCCTTCCGTAGCAAGGACAGAAGAAGTCTGTCCCACAGCCCCCTGCCCTGTCCCCTCCGCTACTCAGCCATTAGCAAAAACTGTGCAGCATCCTCCCGTCTCCCCAGGTGCAGGAGGGGACACTGACCCTTGCCAGGCAAGGGCGCTGCGGTCACCTCGGCAGGGCTCCACGCAAGCAGGGGGGAGACGTGTGGGCAGCGGAGCCTCAGAGGAGATGCGGTAATGACACGGGGAGCAGACCAGATGCGGCCCCACTCTGCTCTATGTTACTGCACAGCCATGTGCGAAATGGAAAGGGACCTCCCGAGCGGCTGGCATGTGTGCTGGCAGTCAGACAACGCGCACACAAGGCCGGCAGTTCATTTTCTGTGTGGCTTGTCCTCAGGACACTGCAGAAAATGGACCCCGAAGTACAGCAGCCAATAACAGCTCAATGGCAATTGTCTAAGCTAATATACACGAAATCTCTGTGGCAGCAAGGGCCACTGGCATTTTATTACCAAGTGTTCGCCCACTTTAGAACAACTTTAACATCTGCAGTATCTTGAAAGGTCACAGCTCTCTATATGCTCGGCAAGTGCCTATATCTGTAAAATAGTAATATTTTTGAGTACTTACTATACACCAAGCATTATGTTAAGTACTTTATGTACAGTAGCTTAAGATATCGTTCCAAACCACTATGAATTAGGTATTGTCGTGTTCTGAATTCCCAGGTGAGAACTACACGCAGGTTAACAGAACCTCGCCCAAGGTCATACCACTCATAAGTGCAGACATGACTCAAACACTGTTATGTGTCTAGAGTCTATCTTATAATAGATTAAAACATATACAAAAGGGGGAACCTAATCACCCATTTGCTTAAATATTAGCCAAGAATTTATAATGTAGATTAAAATTCTCATGAAGTTTTGCTTTCATATTACCGCCAAAAGAGAAAAATTTACAAACTAGGAGACAACACATGCTGGGGAAGCACTTACGGCTCCTCCTCCAAATGTGTGGGAAGTCCTCCATCTAGGGCCCCCATCCCCCCTACTTCCTCCCCTCCCCAGCCTTCTATAACAAGGTCATGAGTGCCCGGGGTTCCTTCTCTGTACCCTTAGCGAGTTCCTCTGTTGCTTAAATCATTCAGAATAAACTCTGTTGTTAGAAACTCCAACTCTAACCTACCAAAACATAAGACCATCTCCAAAATGCAGATAAATTAAATTCAAGTCTCACTACCCTTGGCTTCCAATGACCTTCAGGTATAAGCATGGCTTCTAGAGTCATAAAGGCCTCATTCCAAACCTTGCCCAGCTGTTTACTAGCTGTGTAACTGTGGTCAAGCTCTAATCTGAGTAAAATAAGAACACACATAGAAAGTACTTTATAAGGCTTTGTGAAGACTAATGGAACTAATAATATATATTAACATTAAAAGGGTAGATTATTATATATCCCAGCCTAAATGTGCTAAGCGCCTTACATGCACTATATCAACAATAATACCCTGTCTAAAGAGTCGAACCTATGGCCGAGGAGACAGAAGATATGTACCATGTATGTGGATTGCAAGACTCAGTAATTATTGAGACGTTCATTTACCCAAATGATCTACAGAGTCAAAGCAATCCTAATTATAAGCCCAGCAAGCATTTTAATTAATAATTTATAAAGAATCAACGTAGAAAAATAAATAATAAAATTTAACAAGCTGCTTCTAAAATTCACATGAAGATACTACGGACATAAAATAGCCCCACAATCTTAAGAAGAAGAAAAAAGTTGACTCCAAGACTTATTATAGAAGTGCAGCAATCAAGACACACAAGTAGATCAACAGAACAGAACAGAAGGGTCCAAAAAGAGACCAATAATTTTACTGGCAGTTGACCTCTGACAAAGACATCAAAATGATTTAATGAGAAACAAAATCTTTTCCCAAATGGTGCTAATAACTTCTTGTCCATATGGAAAAACAGAATGAACCTCAACCTTTACCTTATACTTTACACAAAAATTAATTAGGTATGGATCATAGACCTAAATATAAAAGTTAAAACCATAATACAACATGAAGAAAGAAAGCATACCTCTATAACCTGGAGTGGGAAAAGTTTGTAAGACCAAAAAAAAAAAAAAAAAAAAAGGCAAAATTTTAAAAACCTAATGAATTAGATTTCATCAAAATGTGAAACTTCTGGTCACTGAAGCATATCATTAAGAGTCAAGAATATACATGGGGAAAAGATGGTCCCTTCAATAAAAGATGTTGGGAAAACTGGACAGCCACATGCAAAAAAAAAAAAAAGAAAAGAAATAAAAGAAAAGAAACTGGACCCCTATCTTACACCAGATACAAAATTAACTCAAAATAGATTAAGACTTGAATGTAAGATCAGAAACCATGAAACTCCTAGAAGAAAACATAAGCTACTTGACATAGGTCTTGGTGATACATTTTTGGCTCTGACTCCAAAAGCAAAGGTAACAACATACTTTGCTTTCTCTTCAGATCATATAAATCTTTCACTTTTTACAAAAGCAAAGGCAACAAAAGCAAAAATAAGCAAATGGGACTCATCAAACTAAAAAGCTTCTGCACAGCAAAGGAAACCATCAACAAAGTGAAAAGACAACCTACCAAATGTGAGAAAATACCTACAAATAATATGGGCAATAAGGGGCTAACATGCAAACTATATAAAGAACTCATAAAACTCAGTATCAAAAGAAAATCCAATTTGAAAATGGGCAGAGAATCTGAGTAGACATTTTCCCAAAGAAGACCTCCAGATGTCCAACAGACACATGGAAAGATGCTCGACATCACTCGTCACCAGAGAATCAAATCAAAACCACCGTAAGGAATCTCCTCACACCTGTCAGAATGGCTATTTTCAGGAAGGAAAAAAAAAAACAAAATAAACCAGGAAATAACAAGTACTGATGAGGATGTGGAGAAAGGAGACCCCTCACGCACTGTTGGTGGCAATTAGCTACACTAATTCATCCTTTCCGCTATGGAAAACGGTACAGATGTTCCTCAAAAATGTTTTTAAAAAACTACTATGTTATCCAGCAATTCCACTTCTGGATATCTGTTCAAAGGAAATATAATCACTAGCTCAAAAAAAAACAACAAATCTTCACATTGCCATATTCACTACAGCATGATTTACGACAGCCGAGGCATGAAAACAACCTAAGTGTCTATCAAGAGACGAATGGATAAAAATATGTAATACACATATAAAATATGTAATTTTCTCCTCTCTCTCTGTCTCTCTAAATGGAATATTCGGCCATAAAAATGAAGGAAACCCTTCATTTGCAATGACATGGATGGACCCAAAGGACATTATGCTAAGGGACATAAGCCAGACACAGAAAGATAAATATGCGGATTTCACTTATATGTGGAATCTGAAAAACAAAACAAATAAATACAGAGAACAGAATGGTGGTTGACAGAGGGGAGGAGTGGATGAAATGAGTGAAGCAGGTGAAGACACAGACTTACAGTTATAAAATAAGGGGGCCGTGGGGTATAATGTGCAGCACACAGACGATAGTCAAATATTGGGGGAGCATAGTTAAAACTTGCCAGAAGAGTAAATCCTAAAAGTTTCTGTATGCTAACTAGATTTATTACTGCAGTCATTTCAGAATGTGTAAATATGCAATCATTATGCTGTACACCAGAAAGTAATGCAATGTTATATGCCAATTATAGCTTAATCAACAAAAATTTTAAGATATGCTGAAGGCAATGAGTAAGCACGCCACAGACTGGGGAAAGATATCTGCCGAACATTTATCTGCCTAAGGACTGGTATTCAGAATACATAAAGAACTCCTATAATTTGGGAAGAAAGAGACAACTCTTTATTTTTGAAAAGGTGAAAGGATTAACAGACACTTCAAAAAGAAGATATGAAAATGGCCAAGAGGCGCACGAAAAGGCGCTCACCGCTACTGGCCATCAGGGAGACACAAATCAGAGCCACGATGTCCAGATCCTACTCCCACACACTGGAATGGCTACAACTTAAAAGACTAATAAAATCAAATGTTGGTGGGATACAGGACAGCCATATAAGCAT